AACAGCATCACACTGTTGACTCATATTTAGCTTGTGGTCCACTATAATCCCTAGATTCCTTTCTGCCGTACTCCTTCCTAGACAGTCTCTTAATTGTTGATTGGCTTTGCTTGCACATGTCCATTCCAAGTTAAGTGACTCACAAGCAGTTGCATCGGAGGTGGACTCGGAGTTCAAGGACTGCAACACCGCTCGGCCAAAGTGTGCATCGTCTCTGGCCTGCTGGGTGAGGGCGTAGTGCGACGAGAACCTGGGCACTGAAGACCAGGTTGCTGCCTTACAGATATCCTGGATGGGAACCTGCACTAGAAAGGCCGCGGAAAAGGCCTGGACCCTCCTGGAGTGAGCAGTGAGATTTGGCGGAGAAGGAATGCCTGCGAGATCATAACAAGTTCGGATACATGATGTAATCCAAGATGAAATCCTTTGGGTGGGGATGGGGAGCCCCTTCATTCTTTCAGCTATCGCTATGAAGAGCTGCGGTGACCTATGGAACGGTTTTGCATGGGGGCTCCGCCGTGAGGGCTCGGATCTCTGATACCCTCCTGGCCGAAATAATTGCCACTAGAAAGGCTACCTTCCATGACAGGTGAAACAGCAAGTATGTCGCTAGTGGCTCAAAGGGTGGCCCTGTCAAACTGGACAGAACCAGGTTTAAATCCCATGGCAAGATTAGCTTCCTCATCTGTGGGAATACCCTCTCTAGACCTCTGAGGAAACAGATCATCTCCTCATAGGAGAAGACCGGCTTGTTGTCGACCTTTGAGTGGAATGCTAAGATGGCCGCCAGGTGGACCTTAATCAAGGAGAGGGCCAAGCCCTGCTCTTTCAGGGAGAGAAGGTAGTCCAGGATGAGTTGCAACATAGATTGCATTGGCGGGACTCCCCATTCAGAAGATCAGAGGGAGAAACACTTCCACTTCAACCAGTACATTGCCCTTGTGGATGGCTTCCTACTGCCCAGGAGAACTTTACGGACCTGCTCCGAACAAGCCTGTTCATCAGGATTTAGCCATGAAGATTCCAAGTCCTCAGGTGCAAAGAGCTGAGTGTCGGGTGAAGCAAATGTCCATGGTCTTGCGAGATTAAATCCGGATGAAGCGGAAGCTCGATCAGAGTCTCCCAGGAAAGATGGAGAAGCATGGTGTAACAGTGGTGTCTGGGCCACTGTGGCAGGGTGACGACTCACCGGCATGGCGCTTCCTGCTGGTCGTCCATGGAATTAGCTCTTTCCAGCCCGGAGCGCCCTCTGCGGGCCGGTGTCTCACCTGCCACTGGCCCCCGTCTCCCTCTTGGACCCCGGTGCCCTAATATGTCAGGGTTCTGCCCCCGCAGTAACCCACAAGCTGGGTCTCCCCACCCAGGGGAAACCCCAACCCTCTATCCCCACCTTGCCTCAGTGGCTACTGCCAGTCATCATCTAGCCCCTGCTCACTGGGGCAGACTGCAGTCTGTAAACCACTCATCATCGGCAATGGGGTCGGACCAGCTGCCTCTGCCTATATCTGGGCTGCCCCTCTGCAGCCCTAGTACCCTTTCGTGGGCCCTTAACTCAGCATGCAGCCTGGGGCTTTGCTAGGCTGGAGCTCCCCAGCTCCCTCTGCCCTTCCCCAGCACTGCTCCACCCTAGGTATCCTCCTCAGCTTCCCAGGCAGCCAGGTCCTTCTCTCTCTAGAGCCAGAGAGAGAGTATCTCCTTTGTCCTTCTGGCCCACCGCTCTCTTATAAGGGCCAGCTGGGCCCTGATTGCACTGGCTACAGCTGTGGCTGCTTTCCCAATCAGCCCAGCTTTTTCCCTGCCACAGCCCTCTCCCGGGGCTGTTTTAAGCCCTTCAGGGCAGGAGCAGGTTAACCACCCCGCTACAGCCACGCTGGAGTTATCAGTATGACTCGAGCTTGGTCCTGCTTGATCTTTGTCAGAACCCTGTGGATCAGCGAGATGGGTGGAAAAGCGTAGAGCAGATGAGACAACTATGGCAGCAGAAAGGCATCTGTGATTGACCCAGGACTGTGACCTCTCAGGGAGCAGAACTGCTGGCACTTCCTGTTCATGCGGGTGGCAAATAGGTCTATGTGGGGGGGAAATAGATCTATGTGGGGAAACCCCCATTTGCGGAAGATATCCATTGTGACATCTGGGCACAGTGACCACTCATGGTGAGTGGAGGACTTGCTGAGGTGATCCACGATATGGTTTTGAACCCCTGGCAGATACAAAACTTCGAGCTCGATGGTGTGGGCGATACAAAATTCACATAGATCAGCTGCCTCTTGACATGGGAAGAAGAACGAGCCCCGCCGTGCTTGTTGATGTAATACATGGCTGACGTATTGTCCATGAGAACTGATGCTGTCAAGGTCATAATGTGGGGCAAGAACACTTGGCAAGCAAGCCAGACTGCCCTGAGCAACTTGATGCTGATATGGAGAGAAAGTTCCTCCCTGGATCACAGACCTTGAGTCCTGAGGTGTCCCAGGTGGGCTCCCCAGCCCAGAGCTGAGGCATCGGAAAGCAGATGAAAAGATGGCTGGGGTCTTGTGAAGGGAATCCCTTTGCAGACCGTCCGGTGATCCAACCACCATGTCAAGGAGTGGAGGATGGGGGGTGGCACTGTGATTGCCATGTCCAAGTGGTGCCTGGGAGGGCAGTACACCGTGGCCAGCCAGGCTTGGAGAGGTCTGAGTCTCCGCCTCATGTATCACGCTACATAAGTGCACAAAGTGTCTGAGGAGGCTCAAGCAAAGTCGGATAGTTGTGATCAGTTGTGATTGCAGGGAATGAATTAGCATTGAGATTGCCCGAAAACGTTCCTCCAGGAGGAGGGCTCTTGCCAGCAGGGAGTTGAGCACCGCCCCGATGAATTCTATTCTCTGGATAGGTGTCGGGGTTGACTTCTGCACGTTAATGAGATGACCCAACACTTGGCAGATCAACCATATTAGGTTGATGTCAGACTCCATTTGTGCTCGAGACCAGTCCTTGATGAGCCAATCATCAATAAATGGGAACACATGAACACCTCTTTTCCTCAGAAACACTGTCACGACTTCCATGCACTTGGTGAAGACTCATGGGGTGGCCTAGAGACCAAAAGGCAAGGCCATGAATTGATAATGATCCTGGTTCACCACAAACCTCAGAAATCTTCTGTGGCCATGGAAAATCGAGATGTGGAAGTAGGAGTTTTTTTAAATTGAGGGTGGCATACCAATCCCCTGGTTCCAGTGACAGAATGATGGATGCCAAGGAGACCATGTGGAACTTCAGCTTCCTGAGATAGTGGTTGAGTTGACACAGGTCTACAATGGGTCTGAGTCCTCCCTTGGCCTTGGGTACCATAAAATACCAGGAATTGAATCCTTTCCCCCTTAACGGCAGTGGAACCACCCCTACAGCTCCTATCCAAAGGAGAGACTGCACCTCCTGCTCTAGCAGAACCTCATGAGAAGGGTCCCTGAAGGGAACGGGGAAGGTGGGTGGGACGGTGGGGTAGAAATAAAGTGAAAGTTCTAAGAAAATTCTATTGTGCTCAAAACCCAGCAGTTGGAAGTGAACCACTCCCAGGCCCTCAGAAAATGGGAAAGGCAGTCAAAAAAGATACGGGTGACTGGATCCCGAGTAGGAATTGGTAGGCCGTCCTCGATCAATTAATCAAAACGAGTGTTTTGAGAATCCCACGTGACATGGGGCTGACTGAGAGGGTCCTTTGAAGGAAGAAGATGGCGGAGGTGGCCTGCGACCAAACCCCTTATTCCTCTTTCTCCGCTGATCATGCCTGGCTAGCTGGGCATAGAAATGCCCATAATGCTGCAGCCTATACGGTCTCCTGGGTTGTGCTGGAGAATGCAGGCCCAGGGACTTCAGAGTCGCCCTACAATCTTTTAGGCTATGCAGTCTGGCATCCGTTTGCTCTGAAAAGAGCAAAGGCCCCGCAAAAGGCAGGTCTTGCAAGGTCTGCTGTACTTCCTGCGGGCACCATGACTCCTGTAACCATGAGCTCCTGTGCATGGTAACTGCCGTGGCCATAGATGTAGCCACAGAGTCCGTGGCATCCAGGGCTGCCTGCAGAGAGGACCCCATCTTGCCCTCCTCCACAAGGGTGGAGAACTCCTGCTGGCTGTCATGGAGAAGTCTGTTTTTGAACTTGTTCATTGCTTCCCACATGTTAAAGTCATAGTGGCCCAGCAGTGCCTTCTGGTTTGCTATGCGAAGTTGAAGCCCCCCTGGTGGAGTTGGCTTTCCTGCCTAGTAGGTTGAGCTTCAGGGGTTCCTTCATCTTCAGTGCAGACCCTGGCTGGACCTGACAGTCCCTCTTGTTGGCAGTCGCCACAACGAGTGATCCAGGGGTGGGGGGTGAGAAAATAAAAACTCACAACCCTTGGCTAGCACAAAGTACTTCCACTCCATTCTCTTGGCAGTAGGAGGGAAGGAGGTTGGATTCTGCCAGAGAGTCTTAATAGGTCCCATAATGGCCTCATGTAGGAGGAGAGCAACCATTGCACAAATCGCTGCTGATAAATTGTCCAAGAAGCTGTCAGAAGGCTCCCTGACAACTTCTGCCTGCAGGCCCAGATTGGACGCCACCCGATTAATAAATCCTGGGGGTCCTCAGATTATCCCGAAGCAGGGATGTCCCCTTCACCATTAGTTTATCATCAGGTGAAGACAAAGAGGAGGCATGCACTGCCATAGCCTCCATTATATTCTCCCCTTGGGAAGCCTGATCGCGCTGTCAATACCAGCCTTGGTACTGGCTTTGGTACTGGGATGTGCTCCAGATTTGGTGCCAAGTGCAGCGTTCAGGCCAGTCCCACTACTGATACCAGTGATAGGTGCCGGTGTGGTACCACTGGCATCCTACTCTCAGAGTATACTGAGTAGGAGTGTCTACAACTAGTGCCTTGATCCAGGGAAAATCCCCACGGGTTCCAAAAAGGCCACTGTACCAGTGCTGGACCCCATGGGCCAAGTGTTCCAGGGCATCATGGCTCCCAGAGCTCCCGACAATGCCGATGGGTGTGGCCTCGGACGTGGCAGCGAGGTGAGGAGCCGGAACCAGAGTCTGATTCCGAAGGGGAAGAGGAGGAGGAGGAGCATGGGGACCAAGGCGGTGCCAATCCTCCCGGAGCTGGGAAACAAGGCCGTGGCGATACCTCGGGAGAGGTGATTAGGGGAGGCTTTCCCCTACTAAGCGGCCGCGGTACTAACCTGAAGCTGGTCGATGCTTTAGAGCTGGCAAGCGGTGCCTGCGATGCCGCTTCTTGTGCCCCCGGTGAACCCGGTACCGGCAGCGTTAGCAAGTCACTAGCCATTGCGTAAGCCTCCTAATCTGTATGCCGGCAGGAAGGGGGTTGCACCTCCCTTCACGGGGTTTGTGGTGCTGGCGCAGGTGACAGTGTCAGCAGCTGCTGCAGTGCCAGAAAGGGGAAGTGGTGTGGTGCAGGTCTTGCCCTATCCCTGTCCGCAGATCTTGACTTGTCTGCCCTTCTGTCTCCCTTTGGTGCGGAAGAACAGCTCTTCTCACCGTGCCCGCAATGCTTCTTCTTGGGCACTGGTGATGAGGAGGAATGCTGCGAGCTCCTAGCAGTGGGAGGTGCACTGCGCTCCGAAGTTGATGTGCTCAGTGCTGAGTCAAGTGCCAGCTCCGAGGCGGGTCTCAATACTGCCTCCATCAGGAGGACTTTCAGTCTCGCTGCCCAGACTTTTTGAGTGTGTGGGCTTAAACTCATGACAAATCTGGCAGTGATCTTTTTTGTATCCTTCTCACAATCCCAAACACTTGAGACAGCTCAAGAAAGGATTGCTGTTGGGCACAGGCTTCCCACAGGTGGGGCCAGGCTTAAACCCTGGAGACTAAGGCATGCCCCAGCACCCAGAAGGAGGAACACCTCTCCAGACAAGGACAGGTGTCCTAATTCCTATGCTAAACTTACTAAAACTACTTGAACTACTTAACTAACAACTATTTACAATAAAAACTAAGCAAAAAAACACTATGAAAAACTTTGCCAAGACAAAGAGGAGAGCTCCAACAGCAGTCACGGGCAGTAAGAAGGAACTCAGGGACGCGGGCTCAGCACGGCCCCTTATACTGGCACTATGAGCGCGCAGCACCATGGGGCACCAGAGCCAGCCCAACAGATACCACTGGGGAAAAAATTCCAACAGTGATGCTCAGTGTGCGCACACACCTAACTCGGAATGGCATGTGCAAGCACTCAAAGAAGAACTGAGCTTCTGGAGGCTTTTTAAACCTGTGGGGAAATCTCCAGAAGGTCATCTTGGGGGCCTGGACTCCACAAAGTGTCCCTGTCAATAAAGTACCTGCTGTCCTCATTTGATTTCATTACTTCGTAAGAAGCAGGAGGCTGCAGGAGATAATCTAGGAGGTGCACAAATTATAATAGCAGAGCCTGGGCTGTTACAGTCGCTATCCGCAGGTTCAAATGCCACCATGGGGGATATAAAATGGATCTGTTGCCAGATCCAGTGTGTTTCATCTTCCCCTAATCTCAATACAGCATGATGTCAGCATCCTCAGGCTCTTACCTTCAGCCTCTCAATGGCCTCTTCACTGCCTGGAGCAAACATGATCCGTTCATGGAGGCTGGAGACAGAGGCAGCTCGGCTGGACAAGGCTGACAGCGAGGAGGACGGGCTCATCCCCACTAAGGCATTGGTCACTGTGGAGAGATTGTCAGGGCGTTGACTCAGTTCTGCCAGGCTACGGTTACCATTATTGTTCTCAAAGTCGGTCATGTCTATGGGGCAGGGAAGGGGGAAAGAGGGAGGGATGGACACGTGGACAGGAAGAAGGAAAAGGAAGATAGAGAAAAGAAAGGCAGTTGGGAAAAAGTGACATGATGCGGTGAGCAGAAAGCTAGAAATTAAAACACAGAAATACAAACAGCATCATGTGCCAGTGACAGGGCTAGAGGCACTCACACCATCTCTCCGCCAGAAGGAGCATTCACACCACATCCAGAACAGCCACGCTAAGTGTTGCTACATGGTTCTTTGTGCACCCCCGCCCCCATTATGTCCCCTGGCTTGTCAGGCAGAGAGCCAGGCAGAGGGCAGGAAAGCTTACTCATGACCGGGTTGGTTAATGGCTAAATGGGCAGAAGACCCCAGTTGCAGTTTTGGCCCCAATATGGCCTGATGTTCAGAAGAGCCTAGGGCACTGGGTGCTGCTCTCTTGTGAAAATCTGGCCATGAGTGTCACAATGGGAACTGCTGGATCTGTACAATGCTTAACATCACAGGATCCTGGGCCATGACTGAGGCTCCTAGGAGCTACCACAATCCAAAGATATTATCACAACAATGGTGGCTCTCCTCAAAACCTGACCCATGACTCGATCTTCCCTTGGCTGGGCTGGTTTGTGTTCATTTCCCCAAGAATATTTAAGTGACTGGTGTTTTGTTCCCTTGAGCATTAGTCTGAATATGGGAATCCAGGAAAGCATGAGATGATTCACACTGGGGGAGCTCGCGCAGCTGCCCCATGTCTAACAGGTTTGTGTCTTTGAGCAGGAGGCTGTTGGGAGGCAGCAGGGAGAGTCTAAGGGAGTGACAAAGCCAACCAAATGGAGTGATCACCACTCAGTGAGGGGCTGGAGAAGTAGGAGTAACGGAAAGTTGCCTTTGCCTGGGGACCTGCTGCATGTGATCCAGCCCCAGAACATGGAGTAAGGTGCCTGCTGTGCAGCCAGAGACTGAGGCTGAATAGTGGTGGGGTGACAGTATCTCAGGACAACTTCCCTATGGAATCACTACACATAGCACCGGCCACAATGGCACAGTGTTAGCGGGGAACCAAAGAGCTGCTGACATGGGGAGAGCCATCACCAGGGAGATATGGGGGAGCCAAGAAGCAACAATCACTTGGTGTGATTGTGACAAAAGGAAATGAAATGTCAGTCTGCTAGACAGCCCACAAGTCTGTCATTCTCCCTCAGCCAGGCAGGATCACAGCTATTTCTAAATCTGAGCCAAATGCTCTTTCTTGTGCAAAAGAGGATGGGAAAAGGCCTTTAAAGTCTGAAAATGTCCCAATCTTGCACTTCTCCTGTTCTCTGCCTTTGTGGAGAGCTCCCTCCACTCTCTCTGAGACATGCAACACCCCAAAAGATTTTTTCTGCCACTGCTCCTCTTTATAAAGGTTACATCATCCAATCAGAGAATAGAGCCCATGACCAGTGCCCAATCAAATGGAATTCCTTACATCGAGTGCTGATAAGTATGGCTCTACCAAATTCATGGTCCATTTTGATCAATTTCACAGTCATAGGATTTTAAAAATCATAAATTTCATGATTTCAGCTATTTAAATCTGAAATTTCATGGTGTTGTAATTGTAGGGGTCCTGACCCAAAAAGGAGTTGTGGAGGAGGGGTCACAAGGTTATTGTGGGGGGGGGTTACAGTATTGCTACCCTTACTTCTGCGCTGCTGCTGGCGGTGGCACTGCCTTCAGAGCTGGGTGGCTAGAGAGCAGCGGCTGTTGGCTGGGATCCCAGCTCTGAAGGCAGCGCTGCCACCAGCAGCAGCGCAGAAGGATGGCATGGTATGGTATTGCCACCTTTACTTCTGCGCTGCTGCCTGCAGAGTTGGGCCCTCAGTCAGCAGCCGCCACTCTCTGGCCGCCCAGCTCTGAAGGCAGCAGAGCAGAAGTAAGAATGGGATCGTATAGTATTGTCACCCTTACTTCCACACTGCTGCTGGGGGGGCACTGCCTTCAGAGCTGGTCACCTGGACAACAGCCACCTCTCCCCAGTCGCCCAGCAATGAAGGCAGCTCAGAAGTTAAGGGTGGCAATACCATGACCACCCTTAAAATAACCTTGCAACCCCCCTGAAATTCCCTTTTGGGTCAGGACCTCCAATTTGAGAAATGCTGGTCTTCCCTGTGAAATCTGTATAGTATAGGGTAAAAGCACACAAAAGACTAGATTTCACGGTCTGTGACATGTTTTTCATGGCCGTGAATTTGGTAGGGCCCTACTGATAAGAGAACCAGGGATAGTTGGCAAACAGCCTGTAGGGGGATGTATATTCATATAATTTACCTGTCCAACTATGATGCATAACAACCACCACATTTTTAGGAATCCTGGCCAGTTCATAGACAATTTGCAAACAGGAACGTGACGAGGGCCAACACAAACTGTCTCGTGGGGGCAGTCACACTGCAGCTGCGCTGTTTGTTCTAAGCATTGGTACCTTAACGCCACATCGGCATTGATACGTGATCTTCTTTCATGTGTTAGTGACTACAATTGTTTCTGATAATGGCCTGGTGTTGAGTCTGCGGGTGCGGTTAGTGCATACATCTGCCTACATTTAGCATTTGGCTCGACACTTGGACTCCTAGGGGAGTTCTCATGGAAGCCTCCAAAGTCTCTTCACTTCTGGTGGTGCACAGCAATGGCTGCCATGGATCCAGGCCCCAGAGCCAAGAGAGTGATGGAGAGAGAGATGGGGCCTGCCCAAGTGGGCTGTAAGAAAGGCAGCTCTGCAATGTTGGAGATCTGGCATTGTCCGGGGTCACTGAAAGCAGGGAAGGAATTACTGTGCTGCTGGTTTAAAAACTGCTCAGATGTACTGGACACCAGCAGTCTGATGAAAGGCCTGAGGAAGAGGGCAAGCCAAAAGCCAGCTGAAAGCACTGCCAGGCCTTTCCAGGATTGGCTGTAGGCAGGTATGGGGTCAGCGGTAGCTGCATACGAGAGTGGGTGGAGTTCGCCAAAGCTGCGAGGTCTCATTATCAGAGGTGCTGAGCTTGACTCCAGCTGAGGCTGTAGGTACTCTGCATCTCTGGAAGCCAGGCCCGGAGTGACTGACATGGGGCTTTCTGAGCTGGCTGTGGGGGCTTCTCTGTGGAGTCGCTATCTGCAAGTGTGCAGAGGCTGCTGGTCTTGGCACTGCGTGCCCAGCACTGACATTTGGAGGCTGGTCCTGACAACACCTGCTCTGCTGGCAACCTGTTCAGGGGCCTGGCTAGAACACGGCACAGCCAGCCAGCTCTCTCTCCATTAAAACCCCATCTGCCTCATGATGCCCGGTTAGAAATGACTCTGCTTCATCAAGCTGCTTGGGGCTTTTGCTGCGCCTTCGCCTCTGCTCCCCCCAGTCTGAACTTCCTGGGGCACCAAGGGTAGGATGGTAGCCGCAGCCCTGCTCCAATCAGACACCCCCTTGTGGACCGGGAGGTGCTGGCCAGGCCTTCCCCCCTTGCCCTCCACAACCACAGTCTGGCTGCTGCAGGATGGGTGTATCAGGAAGGGCGGGATGGCCCTGCGCACTCTCCCCACCCGGAGGGCACTCAGAATCCAGCCTTTCAGATTATGCCCACAAGAAGGACTCCGTGAGGGGCTAGGGCAGGGGCGGGCAAACTTTTTGGCCTGAGGGCCACATCAGGTTTCATAAATTGTATGGCCGGTTAGGGGAGGGGGTCGTGGCCCGGCCCCCACCTCCTATCTCCCCCCCCCCCCGGACCCCTGCCACATCCAACCCCCCCTTCTCCCTGTCCCCTGAGACTGCCCGCGGAACCCCTACCGCCCCATCCATCCCCCCTCCTTCCTGACTGCCCTTCCAGGACCCCTGCCCCCATTCAACCCCCTGCTCCCCCCCGACCACCCCGCCCTCTATCCACACCCCCGCCCCCTGACCACCACCCTGAACTCCCCTGCCCTCTATCCAACCCCACCTGCTCCCTGCCCCCTTACCGCACTGCCTGGAGCACCGGTGACTGGCAGGGCTACAGCCGTGCTGCCTGGCTGGAGCCGGGCCACGCAGCTGCCGCCGCCACCACGCAGCTCAGAGCACCGGGTCAGGCCGGGCTCTGCAGCTGTACTGCCCCAGGAGCTCGCCGCCCAGAGCATTGCGCCGGCAGCGTAGCGAGTGTGCTGAGGCTGTGGGGGAGGGGGAAAGGCAGGGGAGGGGCTGGGGGCTAGCCTCCTGGGCCAGGAGCTCAGGGGCCGGGCAGGACGGTCCCGCGGGCCGGATGTGGCCCACGGGCCATAGTTTGACCACCTCTGGGCTAGGGGCAACAGCACAGTGCCTGGCAGGCCATGAGGGGCCCCCTTAAAGCCACATGTTGGGGGCCCAGATTTTACTGACTTTTTCTAATTTTTTTGTCCAGGATATTCATGGCTCCCCTCTCGCTACACTATGGCAAACCTCCAGTCCCCAGGTGGCATGCTGGCACTCACACACCCCGTGGAGAAGGCGCAGAGACATATATACAACTTACGAAGAGGGCCACCACCCTGGAGGCATTTGTTAGTAGCCCTTGGGTCCACAGGCACCGACTTTGTCCTTTCCCAGGGGTTCTTGACCCCTGCTCTGCCTCAGGCCTTTCCCCCACTCCATCCCTTCCCCTAAGCCCCTACCCCACCTCACCTCTTCCCACGCCGCTCCGCCCCATCCGCCGAGTGCACCCCGCCCTCGCTCCTCCTCCTCCCCCTTCCCGCGTTTCCTGCACACCGCTAAACAGCTGATCTGCAGCGGGCAGGAGGCACTGGGAGGGAGGGGGAGGCGCTGATCGGTAGAGCTTTGCTCGGATACAAAAATGTAGGGAGAAAAGGTGGAGGAGTTGTACTGTATGTAAGAGAGCGATATGATTGCTCAGAGCTCCAATATGAAACTGGGGAAAAGCCTGTTGAGAGTCTTTGGGTTAAGTTTAGAGGCAAGAGCAACAAGAGTGATGTTGTGGCATCTGCTATAGATCACCAGACCAGGACAATGAGGTAGACAAAGCTTTCTTCAGACACCTAACAGAAGTTTCCAGGTCACAGGCCCTGGTTCTCATGGGGCACTTCAATCACCCTGACATCTGCTGGGAGAACAATACAGCAATGCATAGACAATCCAGGAAGTTTTTGGAGAGTGTTGGGGACAACTTCCTGGTGCAAGTGCTGGAGGAACCAACTAAGGGCCATGCTCCTCTTGACCTTCTGCTCACAAACAGGGAAGAATTGGTAGGGGAAGTAGAAGTGGGTGGCAACCTGGGCAGCAGTGATCATGAAATGGTCGAGTTCAGGATCCTGACACAAGGAAGAAAGGAAAGCAGCAGAATACGGACCCTGGACTTCAGAAAAGCAGATTTTGACTCCCTCAGGGAACTGATAGGCAGGATCCCCTGGGAGGCTAATATGAGGGGGAAAGGAGTCCAGGAGAGCTGGCTGTATTTTAAAGAAGCCTTATTGAGGGCGCAGGAACAAACCATCCCGATGTGCCAAAAGAATAGCAAATATGGCAGGCAACCAGCTTGGCTTAACAGAGAAATCTTCGGAGAACTTAAACAGAAAAAGGGAGCTTACAAAAAGTGGAAACTTGGACAGATGACTAAGGGGGAGGAGTATAAAAATATTGCTCAAGCATGCAGGGGTATAATCAGGAAGGCTAAAGCACAACTGGAGTTGCAGCTAGCAAGGGATGTGAAGGGTAACAAGAAGGGTTTCTACAGGTATGTTAGCAACAAGAAGGTCAGAGAAAGTGTGAGACCCTTACTGAATGGGGGAGGCAACCTAGTGACAGATGATGTGGAAAAAGCTGAAGTACTCAATGCTTTTTTTGCCTGGTCTTCACAGACAAAGTCAGCACCCAGACTGCTGCACTGGGCAGCACAGTATGGAGAGGAGGTGAGCAGCCCTCAGTGGTGAAAGAACAGGTCAAGGACTATTTAGAAAAGCACAAGTCCCTGGGGACAGATCTAATGCTGAAGGAATTGGCTGATGTGATTGCAGAGCCATTGACCATTATCTTTGAAAGTTCATGGTGATCGGGGGAGATCCCAGATGATTGGGAAAAGGCAAATATAGTGCCCATCTTTAAAAAAAGGGAAGAAGGAGAACCTGGGGAACTATAGACCGATCAGCCTCACCTAAGTCCCTGGAAAAATCATGGAGCAGGCCCTCAAGGAATCCATTTTGAAGCACTTGGAGGAGAGGAAGGTGATCAGGAACAGTCAGCATGGATTCACCAAGGGCAAGTCATGCCTGACCAACCTAATTGCCTTCTATGATGAGATAACTGGCTCTCTGGATATGGGGAAAACGGTGGATGTGATATACCTTGACTTTAGCAAAACTTTTGATACGCTCTCCCACAGTATTCTTGCCAGCAAGTTAAAAAAGTATGGATTGGATGACTGGACTATAACGTGGATAGAAAGCTGGCTAGATCGTCAGGCTCAATGGGTAGCAATCAATGGCTCAATGTCTAGTTGGTAGCCAGTATCAAGCGGAGTGTCCCAGGGGTCGGTACTGGCACCCGTTTTATTCAACATCTTAATTAATGATCTGGATGATGAGATAGACTGCATCCTCAGCAAGTTTGCGGATGACACTAAACTGTGGAGAGAGGTAGATATGCTGGAGGGTAGAGATAGGGTCCAGAGTGACCTAGACAAGTTGCAGAATTGGGCCAAAAGAAATCTGATGAGGTTCAACAAGAGAAGTGCAGAGTCCTGCACTTAGGATGGAAGAATCCCATGCACTGCTACAGGTTGGGGACCGACTGGCTAAGCGGCAGTTTTGCAGAAAAGGACCTGGGGATTATAGTGGAAGAGAAGCTGGAGATGAGTCAACAGTGTGCCCTTGTTGTCAAGAAGACTAACGGCATATTGGGCTGCATTAGTAGAAGCGTTGCCAGCAGATCGAGGGAAGTGATTATTCCCCTCTATTCGGCACCGGTGAGGCCACATCTGGACTATTGCCTCCAGTTTTGGGGCCCCCCACTATAGAAAGGATGTGGACAAATTGGAGAAAGTCCAGCGGAGGGCACAGAAAATGATTACGGGGCTGAGACACATGACTTATGAGGAGAGGCTGAGGGAATTGGGCTTATTTAGTCTACAGAAGAGAAGAGTGAGGGGGGATTTGATAGCAGCCTTCAACTACCTGAAGGGGGGTTCCAAAGAGGATGGAGCTGGCTGTTCTCAGCGGTGACAGATGACAGAACAAGGAGCAATGGTGTCAAGTTGCAGTGGTAGAGGTCTAGGTTGGATATTAGGAAACACTATTTCACTAGGAGGGTGGTGAAGCACTGGAATGGGTTACCTAGGAAAGTGGTGGAATCTCCATCATAAGAACTTTTATGGCCTGGATTGACAAAGCCCTGGCTGGGATGATTTAGCTGGGGTTGGCCCTGCTTTGAGCAGGAGGTTGGACTAGATGACCTCCTGAGGTCCAACCCTAATCTTCTATGATTCTATGAACTGAGACCAGAAATCCAGGCCGGCTTCTCACAAGGGAAAGGAAGTCTGACTCATAAGTATGTTCCCAATGGACCAAGGGATCCAGGTCAGGCATTTGCTAAAAGGAGTCAATGGGCTGAGATCATTCTACCTGCACTCGGCTCCCATCAGCTGTTAGTTCGCCTGGGACCATAGCAGGGTAATTGTGGGCTGTTTCTCTGCCAAACTGACATGGATTCTAGCTATGCCACTGACCAGGGATGTCAGCTGGACTGTTCACAACTCTTTTACAAACAAGGCGCGGATTGCAGGGCCTCCCAGCATGCCAGCAAAAGTCAGTTCACTTTGTCAAGTCTAGGAGCACATGTTCAGTAGCCCTGCTGGTCCCAGTACAACCAGCAGCAGATCAATGCTGGGTCACTGGGAACACTTGTGATTTTATATCAGTGGTAGGAAGCAGATAACGTAGTGCCCATAGTTAGGGTATTGCCAGCAGAACCAGTACTGGAATCGGTACTAGTCCCAGGCCCAGCAGAAGCAGCAACAGCACAGAAGCAGCAGAAACCATAGTTACAGCATGGAGAAAAGAGGCCCAGGAAGTTCACATAGAAAACCAATTCCATCTCACATGTTTTGGAGGAGAGCGCAATGCAGGCAAATTCTTCAGCTAACCCCTGGCCACTCCGGTACATTGGCTCAAAGCCCAGCCAAGGCACTGACTGAGAGAAGCTGGCTAGCCTCAGTCTGGCTTCCCCAGCTCAACACCCAGGACCATATGGCTTGGGGCTGCACTACCTCTTGTGCAGAACTGACACAGAGTTTGAAGGAGACTGGTGCATGGCCTCCCCAGCCCTTGCCATATGTCAATCCCCGCCCCCCCCCCACCCTCTCACAGCAGATGGCGCTGTGGAGGTCTCCTTGCTTGTGGATCTGGGAGAACCATCAAGCATGATAGCCTCACATGAGGGCCAAGGATGAGCCTTCTAATGAGGAAAGGGAGCTCCCTGTGCGAAGAGGTTACTATGTCAATGCAGGCAGTTGCCCACCAATCCTCCTGAGTGATCTGTGCATCCTTGGCCGGAGCAAAGTCCTGTCAGCTCTCAAGCTGAGCACTGTGGCAGGGCACTGCTGAGGAGGAGCAGATTACCACCTTAACACCGCCACAGCACAGCTGTGAGAGCACACAAGCTTCCCATAGCCGGTCCCTTGCTTATAGGCTATTGGACTCCTTTGCCATGCTGTATGTATGTTCCTTTGCTACGACCGAGTCTTGGAGAAGCAGTGAAGCACATAGAACACCCACAATGGGAAATACACACATTTAGGTCGTCCTGGAGCAGTGTTAGCTAAGAGAAAGAAAGGAGAGGGAGTGGAAAGAAAGACAAAGAAAACAGAACAAGAATAGGTTCATCTTTATAGGACTAAGGAACAGAGAAGCATGCCCCTAGGTTGAGAAGAGAAGCCGTACATTGACCCAGCCTGGGGACATCTCCCTGGGAGCAACACAGGGAGCGCTCACCAAGCTGAGACTGGCTCTTTGTTGGGACAGGAGTCCTGGGACTAATAGCACAGAGGATGAGCCTGTCCCCGTGGAGCCACCCTGGGGCTGGAGACTAGGGTTCACGGTCAGCATGAGGGGCATAGGCTAGAGTCCCCAGGATTGTGGTGATCACATGCATCTCCCTGATGTCAGTAGGGGACTTTCCCAACAGGCTGTGGCAGAGATGCAGTGTCAGGGAGAGGAACTACAAGGAGCAACAGGGCAAGGAATGGAGATGTCTTGGTGATGTAATGCCATTGCACAACATGGTGGGGATGAGGATGGCTGAGCCTGTCCTACTCCAGTAAACTGAGATTTAGAGAGCTCCATCTTGCTTCTCCTAAGCAAATCCCGGTCCCAGCCAAGAGCCCAGAGAGGTACGTACTGTCAATGATGTCTCCAAGACCCTGGGCGTAGAGCAGATCTCTCAGACGAGCCACCTCATCCTTCAGCTCCCTGATCAGCTTATTGTTAGGATCCTCATTAATGACAGCGTTGCATCTGATCTGTTTGGCACGGTCAGCATACCTGCAGAAACAGGACCAATCACCAGACTTCCTATAGCACTCACTCAGGTCTGAGACAGCATGGGCCAGGGGCTATGGCACTGGACTGGCATTCAGGAGACCTGGGGTCTATTTGCATATAATAACATAAAGCATGGCTTCTGGCAGAGCCCTGGTTAGCACAGCTCAGATATCCGAAGGCTCCCTCAGAGCTGTAACCTTCCGGCCATGAGGCTCCCCATTCTACTCCCATCTGAAGTAACAGGTGGGGGGAGGACACAGAGCAAATCCGGCAACACAAGGGAGAGCATCACAGTGTAGTCTAGTGCCAAGCTGGGAGAGGGACTAGGAAGACCAGTGGCTGGAGGTGGAGGAGAGTGCTCTGTAATGCTACTGACAGAACGAATTGTTAGGGGCCTGAATGGTTAGGGAGCCTCATCTGCTGCTTTGACATTGACACAGAGCAGTAATGAGCACTGCCCAGAGGGGAGCTCTGTATCAGTGAGGGGCTATGGAACAGTAGTGGAATGAAGGAACAGTGAAGGCAACAGGAGGGGAATGTCTAAGGCTGTGACTTCAAATGTCACACTCCATGTTCCCCAGCCCCTGTGCAGGGGATGTGGGGATGAACTGTTGTCACAAAGGCCTACCTTAAAGTACTGAGGGTCTCATCGTAGTTGATATCAGCAGGGCTGAGAGCAGCAACCATAGCAGTCCTGGAGTTACCACCTGCCAGAGAAAAAAACTCTTGGCTCCATGAAGTGGATCTGTTCCTGGGCCCTCTTTTTAAACCCCCTTCTCTCTGCTTTCCCCTTCCTGCCAGAGCATCCCTATCATTCTGCCCACAGAGCACACATACCAAACAATATCCCCACCCCGCAGCCCTCCCAGCTCACATGGTCACATAGAACTCCAGCACAGGAACATCCAGTGCTTTGAATGAGTTGGGAGAGTCCCTGACAGCCGGAGGGCAGAGGGAGGGGGAGGAGTTAAAGCAAGGAGACTACAAAAGTTCAGGAGACAGGGACCTCTGGAGGTCTGTTGCCTGGAAATTCAGTGAGTTAAGGCCAGAACCAGGGCAAACTAAGTGAACCAGACCCCTTCCCTCACCCAGGTTTTCCCGGAGGAGCCAAGTCAGCACGGAGTCTCGGTACGGGATGAAGTCTGTCTTTTTCTTCTTCTTGTTCTGGAGGAAGAGAGCACAGCAGGGAGATGAGACACCTCATTCTCTTCAAAGGTAGTAGGCTCTCAGTCAGTATCAACCAGGGTCATTCGCCTAGTGACCTCCAACCACATCTGGCCAAAGGCACACCCTTGAGCTTCCCCTAGCCCAGAGCAAACCACCTACAGTTCAGAGGTTCGATAAGGACCCAAAGTCTGTGTGCTGACCAAATTATCTACACCTAGCAATCCCGCAAGAAGAGTCTGTCTATGGAGATGTTCTGCTTTGGGGTGGACCAGAAACACATCAAGAACAACTCTGCCTCCCACTTCCACCCCCCTCCCCACAGCCAGGATGTGATGTCCAATGGACAGGAAACTAGCCAAGGACTTGGGTCCAAGTCCCTGCTCTGCCCCAGATTTCTTGTGTGACCTTGGCAAGTCACTTGGCCTCGGTACGCCCGACCTCACACAGGTGTTGTGAGGCGCCAGGTTCTATGGTAACAGGGACCATACCAGCACCTGAGAGAGACAGAAGTGCAGGCAAGGCAGAGATGACTATAACAGACTGGGGGGAAGTGAACTGAATATTTTCAGACCTCAATAGAGGTTTGGTTTGGGTTCAGTTTGATTCTTATTGCAGCAGAACCAGTTTGTCCGTCCCTTGCTCCCATCCAGCCCAGCTACACACCAATGCCTAGGCCAGTGAACTCTCCTCTTCATTCCCCCAAAAGATTTTACACAGAAGAAGCAACAGTCCCCAGGTGACTTCCAGATCTAGGTTGATCTTGCAACAATGGCAGCACAGCCCCAGGAGATGCCAATGCACCTGAGAAACACTATGCTAAACCTAATCTGCCTCATCCCTCCCTCTATTTCCAGCTGACTTAGATTAACAAAAGCCAGCCTGGCTCTCCTCTCCACCACAGCTGCTCCACTGAGATATTAATCTCAAACGCAGGGAGCTGAAAGGAGCCAAGGTTAAAAGATGCTCTGTGGGCAGTGAATAAGGCCACCTCCTATTGGTACCATTTTGACTGGCCTTGCTGTTGGCCAGCCCTTTGCCGCACTGCCTCTGCTGTAGGTCACCAGTCAGTGGAGCCACGGGTTTGCAGCACAGAACCTCATTGGAGGTCAAATTGTGCCTGAATTTCAGAGCAGAGCTGAAAACAATGGGGCGCTCGGTTTAAAAATCCATGCAACAGCATGGTCCTGGGCTGCATCTCAGTAACCTCCCCCTTTCCGTCCACAACACCCCTCCCCGTGTTTGATCACCCAAGCCAAGGAACAGAACCCTCAAAGCACATACCTTATTGGGCCCCGAATCCTGAAAGGAAACCAGAGACATTGTTTACCATCACATGAGCATGTGAGACAAAGAGAGGCCAAAGAGGAGGACAGTTTGCTTCAGTCGGGACAAGGGGCTGTGGGTAACTGCAACTTCCCCTCCACCACCCGGGAAAAGCCTCTACCTCCCCAAGATGAAGAGATCTCCACAGAGAGCAGGCTCTGAGCATGGGCACTGCCGTGCAGCTCGCAATGGAGGGGTGAGCGTGGCGGGGGGAACCCACACAAAGGCTCCTCCCACCCTGCTCGCCCCTCTGCTAAGAGGAAGTGCTGGAGTTTCATCAGCTAGGCTGTGGCACAGGACTTGTGACTGGGAGTTATTATTTAGATTGCCGTAGCACCCTAAACACAAAGGGAAACAACCCCTCTCCCAGAGAGCATATACTGAGAAAAATCAAAGCCAGACAGAGGGCGGGGAAAGGGATCCCCATACCCACAAAGTGAACAAAGCAGTGAGAGTCGCTCATGATCCTGGCTCCATTTCCCGTCCTGCCCGGCTGCCTAATGGCTCTAGCTCCTCTTAAAAATGTATCTGTTAATATATATCCATCAACGATCCCCAATCTCCATTCCCAGGAGATCCAAGCTCACCCTTCCCACCCCCCAACTGCCCCGCCCCACCAGGCACATACAACCAACACTCCAGCCAGTCCCATGCAACATGGATCGTTCTAAAGATTCCCCCGCTCCAGACTGGGGGAGTCTGCCAGGCACCAAGTGCTGCCAGAGTCCATCAGGAATACCTGCCATTCTATGCCAGCAAGGGTGTGTGCAAGAGGGAGTAAGCTCAGGGGCTGATGTCCTTGAGCCATGGGAGGAGAGGGCTGTTTTGTTGGATCGTTCCCGGAACGTTTGCCTCGGAGAACATTTCATAGTCACAGCACAAGGGACTACAAGGGCTGCTCATCCGACAGCATCACTGGGGCCTAATGTGTGCAGCCCTAACTCGCGGGGTGAGCACTGATTCGTGTCAGTGGGTCCATAAGTGTCAATGGGACTACCTGTGAGTCAGTGCTTCAGGGTTACACAGTGTGATCCTATGTAACACTGGTCTACAATTTTTGAGAAGTCGTCTGCTTCAGAGATAAAATGTGCTATTTATTATGTATTTTGATGTGCTGAATTCAAATATGACAATTAAAACAACTGATTGGCTACTGTTTCTAAGATATTTAAGTTTTTACATTTTATGTCTATGTATATTGTGTAGATAGTAGAGCTTTAATCATAAATTGTAAACCTAGGTCTTTTCATGTGTTTATGGTTGCTTTACATGATAATATTTCACCTGTCCTGTTTATGTAACACTTTTTTAAAATCAGCAAAAGGGTTATATAAATAAAATTTATTATGAAACAAAAGGCAAAAAACTATTATGTACATAGTTTAGTCCTATTCAGTGTCTACTCGGCGCTTCTTGGCTTGTCTCTTGTATTCATTAAATGGAGCATCTCTTGTCACTGTCCAGCAATAGTCTGCAAGCATTGATGGGCTCCATTTGCCCTGATAGCGTTTCTCCATAGTTGCAACGTCCTGGTGAAATAGCTCGCCGTGCTCGTCGCTCACTGCTCCGCAGTTCGGTGGAAAAAAATCTAGATGAGAGTGCAAAAAATGTATCTTTAGTGACATGTTGCAATGAAGACTTTTGTATGCCTTGAGGAGGTTTTCCACCAACAACCTGTAGTTGTCTGCCTTGTTGTTTCCGAGAAAATTTATTGCCACTAACTGGAAGGCTTTCCGTGCCGTCTTTTCCTTGCCACGCAGTGCATGGTCAAATGCATCATCTCGAAGAAGTTCACAAATCTGAGGACCAACAAAGACCCCTTCCTTTATCTTAGCTTCACTTAACCTTGGAAATTTTCCACGGAGGTACTTGAAAGCTGCTTGTGTTTTGTCAATGGCCTTGACAAAGTTCTTCATCAGACCCAGTTTGATGTGTAAGGGTGGTAACAAAATCTTCCTTGATTCAACAAGTGGTGGATGCTGAACACTTTTCCTCCCAGGCTCCAATGACTGTCGGAGTGGCCAATCTTTCTTGATGTAGTGGGAATCTCTTGCACGACTATCCCATTCGCAGAGAAAACAGCAGTACTTTGTGTATCCAGTCTGCAGACCAAGCAAGAGAGCAACAACCTTCAAACCGTCACAAAGCTGCCACTGATATTGGTCATAGTTTATGCACCTCAAAAGTTGTTTCATGTTGTCATAGGTTTCCTTCATATGGACTGCATGACCAACTGGAATTGATGGCAAAACATTGCCATTATGCAGTAAAACAGCTTTAAGACTCGTCTTCGATGAATCAATGAACAGTCTCCACTCATCTGGATCGTGAACGATGTTGAGGGCTGCCATCACACCATCGATGTTGTTGCAGGCTACAAGATCACCTTCCATGAAGAAGAATGGGACAAGATCCTTTTGACGGTCATGGCACATGGAAACCCTAACATCACCTGCCAGGAGATTCCACTGCTGTAGTCTGGAGCCCAACAGCTCTGCCTTACTCTTGGGTATTCCAAATCCCTGACAAGGTCATTCAGTTCACCTTGTGTTATGAGGTGTGCTTCAGAGGAGGAGGATGGGAGAAAATGTGGGTCCTGTGACATTGATGGTTCAGGACCAGAAGTTTCATCCTCTTCCTCTTCCTCGTCTGACTCAAGTGAGAATGATTCTGGTGCATCAGGAACCGGCAGTCCTTCTCCGTGGGGTACTGGGCGTATAGCTGATGGAATGTTTGGATAATGCACAGTCCACTTTTTCTTCTTTGACACATCTTTCCCAACTGGAGGCACCATGCAGAAGTAACAATTGCTGGTATGATCTGTTGGCTCTCTCCAAATCATTGGCACTGCAAAAGGCATAGATTTCCTTTTCCTGTTCAACCACTGGCGAAGTTTTTTTGCACAAGTGTTGCAGCATATGGGCCCACCTCTTGTCCTGATCTCCAATTTTGCAGCGAAAATAAAGGTGATAGGCTTTCTTAACCATAGTGGTTATACTGCGCTTTTGTGATGCAAAAGTCACTTCACCACAAACATAGCACAAGTTATCTGCACTGTTCACACAAGTACGAGGCATCTCTGCTCACTTTGGCTAAACAGAAATGTGTCCCTTTGCATAATCAAACACTGACAAATAAGAGAGCACAACACTGTATGATTTCTAGAGCTGATATAGGGCAATTTGTTCAGCAGAGTGATGTACGCTTCGTTATGATTGCATCATCCATGACTTCTAGGAATAACATGATACAATTCATATCATGTATGACGCAATACCAGCTTCAGATTGCATCATTCATTGTTTTGCCTAAAAAGCAAGTACTGTCCAAACCCAGTCATAGATTTATTCATAGATCCAGTCAAAGATGTATTTTAGTCATTTCTGGTTTAAATTGAGATCCCTTCCCTTTATAACTCACTTATCCTCCGCCATTCCCAAGTCAAGGGTCGTATATACTGACCCAATAGCATATCTTGAAAACTAGAGCCAATCAACAATTTTAAGCATCATTTTCGTTCTCAGTGACCCAGAATTAGTAAAGTTTGACTACATTTATTTCAGAAGCATTTTGGCTGTAGAGCAGTGTAATCAGTCCCACCCTGTGGACAGACCTCCTTGGCCGACCTACCATTTCAGCCAGCGCAGAGATGACCTTCCCCAGTGTGGTCAGAGACTTGTTGATGTTCGCTCCCTCCTGTTGAAGGAAGACAGAAAATCCAGCCTCCAAAAGTCAACTGATAGAGAGGGTCCTGACACACGAATCAGCTTAAGGGCGTGTGGGTGTCTGCAGCTCAGCACAATAGCCAGGCTCAGATCCACAGATGATAGCAAACATGGCCAACAGCCAGCTCCCTCCCTGCCAGGGCCCCCCTGGGGAGAGGAAAGGCATTGCATGTGGCTGGTCCCCCAGAGCAAACCAGTGGGGAGCAGTGATTGTGGTGGGTTTAGTGGCTAATCAGGGAATCATTACTGGCACTCCAGCTGTCTGAGAATCCACCAAAGAAATGAGCACACCTCTCCGTGGTTGGGATGCACCAACAGCACCTCAAAGAGCACCTGGCACTGAGTGCAGCTCCTGACTCATGCTCTTCTCTTACCTTTAGCCTTGTGCCCTTGGCCCCTGTAGAGTCGGCCCGTTCACTCCCAGCCAGATCGACCAGGCTGATTTTGCTGACCTATAAGCAAAGAGGGATGCCTGCCATTGAGGGCACAACAATGACTTGCACCTATCCAGAAGGGTCCCCAAGTACTTGACGCATTGCTATGCAAATGGTGCAAACAGGAATCACAATCCACCACTGAAATGCAACCACCTCTGGTGTGAAATGCAACAGCTGTTTAACAGTGTGCAGTCATGCTGCACAGCAGTTTGGAGGAGGAAGTAAATACTTGGTTCAACGGAAACTGTTTGGGGTGGGAAGGTGGATCTGGGGGAGGAAGAATGTGATTATCCAAATTGGAATAGGGCCTGGACACTACAGCTAACATGCCTACTCTTGCAAAGAGTGACTTGGGGTGCTTAGTGGCCATAAGTAGTCAGGACCTCACCAAAAGACAATCTTGCCAGCAGCATAGCACCCCTGGCACCAGAGCAAGGGATTGGTTCAATATATGCCCTGATGGTCTCCACCGGGGAGAGCTTTATTTTTGCACTAACAGCAGTTTGGGTCCAAGTCCTGTTTTATTCGGAGTCAGGGAGAGCAGGTTTCCAGCCCTGCCCATTCAAACAGAGATTGGCAAAATCAGGAGTTGGTCAACAAACAAAACTGCAGGGGGGTTGTGCTCCAAGTCCCCATTTGTTTGAGAAGTCAGATAAGTGGCTCAAGCTGGGTCATTCGCCCCTGGGTGGGGCATACACTAGGCTTTTGCGGGGAAAGCTGCCCACTGTTACTGCCACTACAATGCGTAGCAAGGCTCAGAGGGGCCCCAATGTGCTGAAAACCCTGCAGGACTAAAGGACCTCTTATCTCAGCCCCTTTACTCCCACCGTCACACCCTCTCTCCACCAGCCAGAGCACAGGAACTGGGAAAGTGCTGCTCAGCCTCACTAAAGAAACACCCCCCTTTGTGCTCACCTTCTCAGTGGTGACGTCAGTTTCTGCATCGTGCCGTTTCTGGGTGAAGATGATGTTGAAGACAGCGTGCGATCGGCTGCTGGTTTCGTTCATGTTTGTGGCAGCGACCGTCCTGTGGGGGGAAGAGGGCAGGGAGGCATGGAATCCTGCAGCTTGGCAGCCACTAGCAGCACTTGCTCAGAGCGCAGAGCTGGTGACGTCAGGCACAGCTCGGTAACTCCACAAGGCAAGATTGAGAAGAGCGTGAGCCAATGGAGCTCACGCTGGACCACCTCTTAATGCTCAGCTCTGGTTTGGACACCTCCGCCTCTAAGGAGCTCACGCAAAGCCCGCTGCAGTCAATGAGGGTCTCCCCATTGAATTCAGTGGGCTCTGTGCCAGGTCCCACATGCCCAGTCCCACCTCCACAGCTCCCTGGGGGCAAGACTCAGGATTGGCTCCAGCACAGGGCAACATGAGGCTAGTGGACAGCACTAAGGAGACAAGATGAAAACAAACCTGGGTCGGTGAGTGGGTGCTGCAGTGTGGCTGCTCTCTCTGATCCTGTCTGCTTTGTGCTCGTTGAGATATAGAGACAAGAGCACAACAGGGCTCTCACCAGCAGCCCACCTAGCCAGCTCAGGAAAGAAGCCGAGTGATTTTTGAGGCAAACGCGTCTAGGCCCTCCCAGCCAGAAGGCAGGGGCCTAGGATGTGGAGCACACGCTGGGTGATGTAAAGCAGGGGATTCTCCGGACAGCACTGGGGTGGGGAGGGAAGGAAAGGCAACCAAGACTGTGCCCCTCTCTCACCTGGCTTTATTCCCAGAGTCCATCAGGTCCTGGATGTCATTGTAGGAAGTGACAGCCAGCTTGGAGAGGTCCTCTACATAGGGACCCAGGAGGGGGTGCTCCCTTACCCTCAGGTTCCCCTTATTCTTGGGATTCAGCAGGTCCCGCACACGCTCACAATATATCTCCATGTAGCTCACCTAGGGGACAGAGCGCACAAAGTCTGTGTCTGACAATGGGGGGAGGGGCTCCCACATCACACAGGACACAGACCCAGTTGTCACCCATCCTGACACACCCAGTGTCTTGCTCTAGGAGCCGCCCCGTTCTAGGCAGTGATCGATTGATTCCAATGGCTGTGTTAGCGTGAATGAGGGCAGAGTGTGGCATAAGGGCCATGGGCAAACCCTGCCCAGCATGCAGCCAGCTTTCCTCCAGCCCTGTTGAGGCCCTGCATGCCTCACCTGCCAGTCTGCACAAGGGGCTACGGAAGTGCGAATGACTTTGTCTACACACCAGAGTTGCTTAGTTAGCTAAACTGGATTCTAAATAGGTTTGTTACTGAATTAAGCTGAACTGATATAAGGCACTTTTAAATCAGTCAGAGTTTCACCAAGATAATGTTGACTTCAACCCCATGTAGTTAAAGGGATGCCAGGGAAGGCAGGCCAGGCCTGGGTGAGGGTATGTATCCCGACAGCGATGTCAGATCCAGGGGTGGACCTGGAACCAGATCACAGCAGGACTGAGATCCCTGGAACCCGAGGGCTGCAGGCCAATGACTGCTGACCCATGAGAACAGCTGTAGCTCATTAGACCCCTCCCTGAACCCAGATGGGAGCAGGTCTCTGTGCAAGGGTACTAGGGCCTGGGAGTGACAGAGCAAGGAAGGCAGGTCTCCTCAAGGGCCTGAGCCTGGAGCTGCAGGTAGTATTACATGGGAGCTACTCTTTGGTTAATACACAGGGTAACTGACTCAGGGAAGGAGCAGGGCAGGCCCATGCAGCGGTGCTGGCAACGGCCCACCTTAACATATCATCCCTGTCTCCTCAATAGGCGCTCTCCCCGGCAGAACGCCCCCACTGTCAGCGGGAAGGGCCCCGTACCTCCACAGAATAGGACATGTTGTCATTCGTGGTGTCGTTGATTCGGGAGAAGAGGTCCTCGCACAGCTGCAGCAGACAAGGAGAGAAGGAGACATGGCTGCTCACATCCCACATAATGCAGCCAGAGTCATTGGGGGGAGAGCGGTGCCAGGGAAACAAGGATTCTTCCTTGTACCCCAGAAATGGGAGCAGCAGAAAGGCAGGCAGGCAGGAGGGGAGCCTGTTCTCTGTGCTCACTCACACCCTGTTCTGAGTGACTCTGAGCGACATGTAGATTAAGTGGCACAGCCAAAGGCACTGCCAGGCTGTGGATTTCAACTGCTTCAGCTCAGTGACGAATCAGACCTTTGTGGCCAGGTTAATGTCTGGTAGAACTCCCCTGCCTTGCGTGGAGTCAGAGCAGGAATCAGTCCGGCCAAAGCCTGCACTCGCTCACAGCCACTGGCTCTCGCAGGGCTGGAGAGATGTATATGAGGACACAGTATGACTCAGTCATTCAGCCCAAAGGTTTCCCAGCCACTCAGGCATCTCTGCTGAGAGCCTCCACCTATCTCACCTCTAGTTTCTGTGGACTGATGCTTTTACTGCCCCCTTCCTGTTCATGGCAGGTCTGGGATCTCCCTTGCTCTGCCCTGACCCTTTCCAGGAGCCCTAAAGGCGACTCCCCAGATGCTTGGTGGCCTCCAAGCAGCTCATACCTTCTGCATTGATTCCCATCCCAGGCTCCTAGCTTCACATCCCCTCCCAACTCTAACTTTCCAGCTGCCCTGAGTGGGAGAGAATCCAGGAGACCAGTAGCCATTCTTCCTCCCAGCCCTGCCCTTTGTCAAGTTCCAGGCAGCCAGTTCTGTGTCAATTTCCCATCTGGTTGGTAGCACCTGTGCTCGCTGGTGCCACAGCCTTGTTGACTCCTCAGTCCTTGCTGCCATCATCCTGCTCTCCCCCGGCAGGTAACTGCTTCCTGTCTCCTCGCTGGCACTCAGCAGCTATCAAGGCCCCATATGCAGGGGGCGACAGCCTTTCACCCACATGGGAACTATTCATCTGCCCTGCCCTCCATCCCCCAGCAGCCTCCTTCTCCTCCACACGCTCCCGGCTATGACCCGGCTATGAATATTCTTTGTTCACAGCCAGCAGCGTGCTCTCCCTCAGGTGGTGATAGTCTCTGTTACCTGTGGGATGATGCCTTGCTGATCCTTCTCCTGCCTCCCCATCATGGTGTAGGATTTGCCAGCGCCTGTCTGCCCATAGGCAAAGATACAGACGTTATAGCCCTCGAAGGCATGCTGCAACATTTCCTCCCCGATGTCCTGGTACACCTGCTTCTGAGATGCATAATTGATGTCTTCGGGCTGCGGGGAGGAGAAACCAGAGACAGAGGTCAGAAGGGAGGGAAGGTGTGAAAGAGAAAGTGGAAGGAAAGAAAACAAGAAAAATGGGAAACATCTGGCCCTCATTCTTCTTTCATTTGCACTGGTTTTATCTGGGTGCAATTCCATTCACCTCAATGGAGCAAAGTTACTCCTGTCCCATCCTAGTGCAAGTCAGAGGAGAATCAGAGCCTGCATTATTTTCTCATACTACTGTTGCTGAGTCACTCGTGTATCAAAACCAGAGGCACACTGGGGCATCCCTGGCAATGTTTCACCGACTGGGGAGGGGATCCTTTAACTTCCATAGTGTAGGGCCACCAAGGAAAACCTCTCAGCACCAGTCCCTTGGTGGCACTCCAATGCTGACATTGAGAGCTCTTGGCTTCCTGATCAAGGTACAGATAATGTGAATGGGGACGAGGGCTGCTCTGACGCACTTGGGGAATTGCTGGACAAGACTCCGCCTCACTAAAATTGTGACACATCTGTCTGAGGATCTGAAAAGCTGCCCAGCTCTGGGCTACATCAGAGAGGGAGCTGCCAGCAGGGCATTCTCCACAAGAATCCCTGGACTTTGCCATTCAGACCTCTCTGGCTCTCAGAGCCTGGGCACAGTGCATAGCCCCCTCCTTTTGGGCAGTGTGATGGGGCATCCACCCCACACTGGCCAGTAAGGGGTTAATAGAACCCTAGGGAGGCTGTGCAAAAAGCAGCCAATGGGAAAGGGGCTGTGAGGAGCAGCCAATCAGGGCCCAGCAAAGAGCCTCAGGGCAGAGCAGGGCTCAGTAGCTGCCTGGAACTTGAGGAGGGAGGACTGTATCTGGAGTAGGCTGCAACCCGACAGCATCATGGACAGAGCAGTGCAGGTAGGAACCCAGGGAGAAGAGAAGGAGCTCCGGACAGGCTGCTGAGGGTAGGAAGGTCCATGGCCATGGGGAAGTGGCCCAAGGAAATGCAGCGATAGCAGAGGAAAAGGAGTTGCAGGTGGACTGTTGAGAAGGAGTGACAGGGTGCAGAAGGCAGACAGGAGTGTTGGCCTTGAGCTAATCCCTAGAATGACCAGGGGGAGGCATCAGTCTGGTGGTGAGTGACGCGCTCTGTGACAGGCAGGCATTTGGGAAGGGGTAAGATTTGTATTTGGGGGTTTAGGGCTGGAGGGGAGATGGAAATTGCACTGCTGAGGGAAGCTGTTGGCTTGCTGCAGCCTAGCTGTGTCAGGTTGGATTACACAGATACCTATGCCTTGGGTGCCTAGAGCCTTTTCTGAGTTAGATGATTGAAATTGAAATAGATTGTTAAATAAGGGACTTGGCTCCAGTTGATGTGTCCTAGTAAAAAGCTTTCTCAGAAATGCTATCTGGTTTCTACCTCCAGTACAGCACACCTCCTTCCAGCCTTGTAGCTAACACATTTGAGGCTCTTTAGTGCCCACTGAGCACAGGGGACACAGTGAGGAACCAGGAACACAGCTGGGCAAAGAATTCACAACAGCTAGTCAGATTTCAGGGCTAGTTGTGTGTGAATTGTCTGGGAGCAGACTGTTACTGTGTCTCAGGTTGGTCTGTTATGTGAAATTACTGAAACACTTCACATGAATTACTTTCAACCTGTAGCTTTTTTGGGAGCATTTTGTTGCAAGTAATGAAAATTCAAGCTGTGATTGGTCACCTATATTCCTACTTCATGCTGTGACTGGTCTCTGTGTTTCTGCTTTCTGAGTGGAGGAATGGAATGGATAGATGCCAGTTTCCTGGAAGCAATGCTCATAGACAGACAATAAAAATGAGCTTCCAGCCACTATTCATGTTTCAGTGAATACCCTTGCCAGGGAACTCCTTGGCTAAAACGATTGTGGAAAGCAAGTGCACAAAGGGCACAAACACAGCTGAAGAACAATTATTTAGTGAATGTATTCATGGCACAGGACTTTTCACTGCATTCCCTTGGCCCTAGCTGTGCAGCTGGGTTACATTGTCATGGGATTACCACAGATCATTTTTTAGCTTAGATCAGCAGTTCTCGACCTTTTCCACCCTGTGACCTGAGTCACAACAGAAAACAGTATCAGGATGCTGCTGCTACCTATAGTTCTGGGAACCTGCTCCCATCTAGCCATAATGAAAGGGCTTGTGTCCCCGCCCTCAGACCTGTTTGCAAACCCACGGCTTGGGTTCTTTCACAGTGGCTGGAAGGGGGAAGGGTGACCAGCCCTGGTGCGCCACCCAGTGGTTGATTTGGGACCACATCAGCTAAGTCATCTCGTAAGGAGGTGAACCCTAAAGTACAATGGTCAAGGAGACTGCCCCCTCTTTCACAGCTGGCAGTCCTTATATCAAAACCTTTGGATCACTCCATTCCATCTGACCCCAGCTTCTTAACAAACTCCCCATTGCAAAAGGGCCTCAAAGCAGGAAAATCCACCTGGAACAGCAGGTTTCCACTTACCGTGGTGTGAGACCAATAGGAATAGTCAAAGCTGAAGCTTTTGGGCGTCTCTTTGGGCTGCTTTGGGTTAACGATGGCTAGAAAGAAACAGATAGATACAAACACACTGTAGACGAGCTGTCAGCATTTGGCCACCCTCATTAGCAATCAAACCTTTCTGGAGACACCTGCCATAAAGAACTGGAAATGAACAGCACAGCAAGTCATGGAGATGGAGCTTGTTTGCCTCTAGATAACTGGCTTACACCAGCATTAGAAGGCTGCTGCTGCCATCTGATGGCTGGGTGTGGTTAAAGGAGTTAGAATCATAGAATATCAGGGTTAGAAGGGACCGCAGGAGGTCATCTAGTCCAACCCCCTGCTCAAAACAGGTCCAATCCCCAGACAGGTTTTTGCCCCAGATCCCTAAATGGCCCTCTCAAGGATTGAACTCACAACCCTGGGTTTAGCAAGCCAATGCTCAAACCACTGAGCTATCCCTCCCCCCCGAGTTGATGGTCTCAGTCCAGTTCTCAGTGTCCACATGACAAAACCGCCACCAAATCCCTTTTTGGCACTCTTAGCAGAAGGGCCAGGCACTGAACAGGCATGGAAACTGGACCACTGTTCCCCCTACAGATGGTCCCTACTAGCGAGGAGTGAGATGCAGGGGAAAGGCAGACAAATAGACAGTCCAATCTTCATCTGACTAGACTATGTTACAGGCTTACCTCTTTGCCGAGGTAAGCATTCAGAAGGGAGGCGGGTAGGCTGCTGAGTCGCAAGGAGAAAAAGCCTGGGTGTTCTTGGCTGGCTAGTTTGTTTCAAGTGCAATAGGACTGGGGGTGGGGGAGAAGCAGGGATTTATTTTGATAGTAGGGAAATAATTGGGTAATCGTATATAATCAAATAATGGGGCATCATTTCAACCAGGAGTCCTGCTCAGGACAAGGTTTATTAATCAGTAATGGCTTCACTTAGCGAAGGCTTAGATGGTGGTATCTGCAGCTCCAGCAGGTATGGGATATTTCCCTGAAGCTGTGACTGATGGGAGGGGGTGGGGACTGGCTAGAGCCAGACCTCGGTAAGCAGTCTGATGCAATTCCCGTGCAGGATGTCCACACCCCTGCCAGTTGGACGGGGAAAGTGCTGGCATATACCGGGCTGCAGATGCATGGAAATACAAATACTGCCTCCTGCTGTGATTCTCCAACACGCAGCCGAGAAACGCCATGAAGAGCCCATGTAGCCTGGGGCCCTCCAAATACGCCCAGAACCCCTCATTCATCTCATACTACACAAAGGCCTGCGGATCACAGCAGCCACCTGGCTGACTAGAACTGCCTCCAGAGTCCATAACCACTGCTTGTGAGCTGGCCGGAGCTGGGGCTGCAGAGCAATGCAAACATCAGCTGAGCCACTGGTGCTGGGCATGCTGCTGCAGAGCACTCCCTCCTCTGATCCATGCCCCTGCCAGCCAATGGAGCAAGAAAACAACTCCGTCACTCTTGGGTGGGTGGGTGGAGCACTATGGTCTCAGCAGCATAGAGAAGTCTAAAGGACACTGGTGTGATCTGGGCTCCTCAGAGCCTAAAGTGAGAGCATAGGAGCCCACCTTTAACCCTTTGTCATCAGCCGCTGCAGACTGAGCTTTGAGGCTGCCCTGCTGGAACCTCCAAGGCAGCAATGAGAATACAGGTCCCTGCTCTCAGCCTGGGGAGGAGCTGTTCACCCCAGACCTGGATGTGACCCCCAAGCTGTTAAACATCATTAACAGATAGAAAAGGCAGGGTGGGGGAACACATCCGTTCCCAGGGACAGCCATAGAGCCAGCTCTGCTGAGTCAACCATCTGCCAGGGACAGTAAATCACATACTATCATCGTTGTAAACCAGCCACCCTTCCCTACACGCCATGCAGCGGCCATGACTCATCACCTTCTCAGCCATGCTGCCCGGTTCTGGCTTCCTACAGCCCAGTAACCTGCCTTACCCATTGTGTGTGTTGCCGGTGCTATGATCACTCCGGCACATCACTTCAATGCAGCCAGCAGGCCTAGCAGGGCATCCCAGCCCCAGCAGCCGTAGGGGTGTCACGGGCCCAAGGACTCCCTCCCCCAGGGGGTCCCACGGGGAGGCAAATTAGCATTGTATGTTGCTAACACGGTTGCAAGCATCGCAAGGCATTTCGGGGGCGGGTCAAAGGTGTGTGAGTGTAAAGTGGAAGATTCCTTTACAGGTTGCAAAAGGCCAAAGGGGGGGGGGGGGAGGAAGAGAACAGGTTAACTTGACACTTCAGCTAGCTCCGTCTGAAGATAAGACGCTGACCCTGGTCCAAGGTCATGAGCTCGACGAGAAATCTGCAGCTGCCCACCCGTGAGAAGGGGAGAACTAAGTTGAGCAAGGCTGCAGAGATTGCAGTGAGAACAGTGAGAGCGAATGAGATGGCGAAGGCCAACCGGGGGGAAAACAAAGTCTCTGGAGCAGGTGTGTTTTGGGAAAGCCATGGAGGCCACAGTGAGTCGGTTTGGACTGGCACCAGGAACAGAGGGCCCTAAACAAAAACACCCCCAAAAGAACCCAGGACTAAAAACCCTCCCAAGTGCCAAAGCAAGTCAGAGATCACAGCGGACCCTGGATGACCTATGCATGGGACAAGAACTCCCGTCCCCCCCCACTTCTTCTTACATTACACCCAGGCTTGACCAGCCTCGTTTCGTGCGTGTGTGAGTATGAAAGTGGGTTAGGGCTGGGGTACTAACGCTTTCTTGCTTCCTTTGAGTGACGTGGGAGCAGTCCCAACACTCACCGCCGTTATTTTATTATTTTATTAATAAAGCTTTAAAACTTAGACACTTGGGGCTGGTCCACACTGGGGCAGGGGATCGATATAGGAAACACAACTTCAGCTACGAGAATAGCGTAGCTGAAGTTGACGTTTCCTATATCGAACTAAAAGTACTTACTTCGGGTCCACGCGGCGCAGGCAGGCTCCCCCGTCGACAGCGCTTCCTCCTCTCGGCGAGCAGGAGTTCTGCAGTCGACGGGGGAGCGCTTCTGGGATCGATCTATCGCGTCCAGATGAGATGTGATAAATCGATCCCAGAAGATCGATCTCTACCCACTGAATTAGGCGGGTAGTGTGGACCAGCCCTAAGTATGCTCTGTCATCTCCTCCCCTAAAGATCCTGCGGCCTCAGCCTGATTACCTGACGCCTCAGGCAGATTGGTAACATAAATCTGTCACAGTTTTGATGGAGAATTGCGGAGGGGGTCCCTGCAGAGCGCACCAACTGCTTTGCCCTTGGTATTTCATGTTTGCTCTGTCCAGCACTGTTGGTATTCCATGTTGAGGATTTTATGATTAAAGGTGTGCCCACTCTCAGCCTCAGTAGGTCTGAGAACCGGAGAGAAGTTTAGCATTCCTCTCTCCACCCCGGTTGGCGGGGGTAGGGTGCAGGTGGATATACCCCCGGGTTGTACAAGTCCCGGGTAATGGGAGGAGGACTCAGGCAGTCTCGCTCCACGCATATAATCCTCGGTGCATACATCCTCAGCCGTAGCATGCCTGAGTTGAAGAGGAGAACATAGGGTGTCTCGCTCTGCCCAGGAAGGGTTTTTGGTGTATGGACCCTCAGTGGTATTGGACCGAGTAATACGGAGGGAGGCTTAGCATCTCTCCCTCGGGCCCAGGGGGCGTGAACATTGTAAGCCCCGGTGCCGGTCAGTGTGGGCAGAGTGAAATCTCAAGTAATTAAAAACACCTTAAAAGTGGTACTAACGGATTGTGATAACATGTTCAGGAAACAGAAGGGTACAGCTGCGAACTCGGGAGTCCCGCAGTCATGGGCGATGGCATCAACAATGGGTTCAAGGCTGGACGCACAGGCATTATGGAGCGCGGACACGGTAGTCCGGCTGCCCAGCCCGCTGGTGTCACGGGAGGCAGGTGGACCTGATGCCCGAGCCATGGGGGAGGCAGCAAAGAGGGACAGAACTCTGCTGCCTCTTTCAAAGGGGGGTGAGGACCTCTCACGGCTGGAGAGGGTTCTCACCAAGGCGGGATACAATCCCTGGGGTTCCGTGTAAAAAAAGCAAAAGGGTAAAAAGCTAGGGGCCGCTGTGGGAGTAATTTGAACTGCAGCAGCCATGTGGTATCAAATGTTGTCAGGACAGAAAGAGGAGTTGGGGAGAAGGGAGGAGGTGTGTACCCGACAGCTGGTGGAAATTGAGCAACTGAAAGCGCAGATTACTAACCAGGCTGCAACCCAAGCCTATGCCCAGGACAAGTTGCAAGCCTTGAGACAGGACTTCCAGGCGGAAAAGGCAGAACGCACCCACCTGGAAGCACTGGCTAAGCAAATACCAGTCCTTCAGGGACTAGTCAAAGACTTGACTATTCGTGCTCAGCATAAGCCATGAAGGCAGTGTGCTCGCCATGAAAAGGAAATTGAACAGTTAAAATGTCAATTGGCCGTGCATTCGGTCCAGGTGGCAAGCCTCACGGGGAATGATTCGGGTGAACCTTGTGAGGATCCTCGATTTTGGGCGGAACCTTGTTGCACCCCTATAACGGCCCTCATTAAAACCGAGAGGTCCAGCGGGTGAAGGGGGAGAAGGTCATATGTACGGCACCCCCAACTACAAGGAGAGCACCCCGTGGGGTGATTATGAAGAGGAAAGGAGAGATGGGGGCTAGTTAAGGAGCCCACCCTCCTTGCTAAATTGGTAGTGGAACAAAGCCTGTGCCCATGGAAAGGGACGGTTCAATGAGAAAAACAGGATCGGGCCCAGATAAGCAGGCAGACAACAAATAAAGAAATTGGAAAACAGGTTGGAAGCCTTGAGGGCATAGTGGCAGGAGTAAGGAAAGGAGTACATACAGATATGGGGAATTTAAATCTCTGAAATAGTACTTGGAATGGTAAAATCTAAGTTGATTACAGTGTCATTTTGGAAGATAAGCAAGTGATTTAAGGAAAGAGAGTGAAAAGTTAACTCTGCAGAGGCTGGAGGGAATTAAACAGTTAAATGTTGTAAAAGTGTTAGAGAAAAAGAGAATTCTTGGTTTCTTTGCAGCTATTCTGGAGGAAAATGGG